AAAAAAAAGTCAGAAAAATCACGAACCCTGCTTGCAACGGACTGTCCCGAGTATATTTTACATTCCTTTTATTTTTATACAAAACGTAATAATAGTAAAAAAGTTATATTTCAAAGATTACTATTCTTATAAAGAAAATAGAACAGGATAAAAAGAAAAAAAATACCTTTAAATAAGAGATAAACTCATGGGTAAACATATCTTTTATTATTTTTAAGCTATTACGAGTATTAGTATCCGTTTATTAGTTCGTCTATAAATGCCTATTAATGCTTAAATAAGATAGCGAACAAATTTTAATCCATAAGAAAACTGATCATTTCGGGACTATTAAATTTATTTTTTAATAATAAATAATGCGGAGTTTAAAATCAAAACACTCCTATTACAAAATAAAAAAAATAAAAAAAGACATTTTTACGAAATCACAGCGCTTTATAGAAGCAATAGCATTTTAATTTTCTATGTTCCCTAAAAATCACTCCCTTTAATGACCCCGTCCCAGGAGTCTGTCGAGGCACACGTAGGCACAAGCCATTTTACATGCAGAAAGGTAGACCTCCTGGCCGGCTGTGGTCAATGGCACGCGGCATCTCGTTGATATCCATGTCTAATGAGGGAGGGCTTTCCAAAATCTTTGCCACCTAGTTTTCAGCCTAACTGTCCAAAATCAAAGTATTTTCCATGTTTATGTCGATTTTTTTCCCTCTTCAAAACCTATGTTTTTCAAATTTATAACAGAGCATAAATGCCCTAAAAACAAAACTCTTTATCAGTAAAACTTGCAGATAGAGATGAATTTCGTGAACCCATAGGAAGTAGGGATGAACAGGTTGGAGTTGTTCCTTGGAATTGAAGCATGCATGACTAGCTAATTTAGACTCTGGCAGTAAGTTGGACAGGGACCAATGAGTAGGATAAAGTGACAACCAAGGGTTAGTTTTTCAATATAGACAAGAGAGCTAGGAATAGAAGAAATTCATTTTTGCCTCAAAATTGTAACCAAAGGATAATTAGGAGTTTTAAAAATGAAATATAGAAATTAATTGTTACAGAAACTTGCAGATGCCATCGCTGAAAAAAGAAAGAAAAATAAATGTGAAGGATGCTATCAGAATAACTTATGCTTGGAGAAATGTCTCAAAAAACTGTCCAAAATGGTTTTAAAAGGCTAGTTTTAAGAATAGCTGTGAAGATGATGGACAAATGGTTGAAGGCATGAGTAAAGAAGAAACTGGTGATGCTGGTTGACATTAATTTTGAAGATTACAAGCGGACAACTGCCAGGCTACATGCAGAACATTGATAGATACAGAAATCATAGATAATGCCAAAGGAAAATTAGATGAAAAGGAAAAAGCTGCAGATCATATTGATGAGGCAAAAGATGCAGAAAAAGCTGTAGACCTCTAACAAACTGCCAAGAAAATGTTGGATATGAGGGTTTTGCTGCTCTTTCTAACCTCAAAAGAATAATCAATTATTTTCAGTGTAAAAAGCTATGTTAATAGATATAAGTGCTACAATTGATTTACAAAAATGCCTGTTTTTTTTTCTACTCAATTATGATTAAACCACATTAAATAGAATTTCTTAATTAAATTCAATTTTTTGAAGTACCAGTAACACTCTTAATCTCAATTTCCTTTCCAGTGAGATTCAAGATAACCAGGTCCTACTATAGAACTTATTGAAAGTTACAAGGTAATTTAGCTACTTCCAAGATTTTAGATAAAACTTGGTCTAGTTATAGCAAAATTTTCTGGGAACGACCACCCTCTGTTCCATAATAAAATGGCTCCTAATGGAGGCCTCTCAGTCTTAGGGATATTTCCACTGACTTCAATTGTTATTGAAACTACAGTCTGAATTTCACTTAGTGTCATTTACTTAAAGCGGAAATGCCACTTGTGTGACAAAGCGTTAATAAAAATGACACTATTAACATAATTATGTGTGAAATCAGATTTACCAATTATGTTTGCAATTATATTTAGATCATGAAAATTTGTTTACTCTTGAAAACGATGTTTGTTTTGAGATGCTTATTTTTTAAACCTTTTTTCTAATTTAAATTATTTAAAGTCCATGTAAAAAATCCCGTGCCTCCCAAAACGTGGTAAATAGAGGTTTCACAGTATATCAATACTCATCAGTTTTGCGAATAACAGTAAAAGCTAAAAATATCTATAAAACTAAGCAGTTTATCGAAAACCTATTCAATCATGCAAAATACTTTTCAAATGTAGAATAAAAAGAAAAAGGGTGAGGGAGGTCGTCCCAAATAAATATAACGATCAGCTGTACGCTTTACTATTTGAGAAGTAAAATTATGTATGCTTACTTTCCGTCTAATGCACGAACGGCGTCTCTAGCATCTCTGGAATCCTCAAATTCAACAAATGCAAAGCCTGGTGGATTTCTAGCTACCCAAACATTTCTTAGAGGTCCATAATACCCAAAAGCATCTTCCAATTCATGTCGAGTTCCACTGTTCCCAAGTTCTCCAACATAAACCTTGCAGTCAAGTGGGCCGGAATTTCTATACCTTGACATACTGCAATGTACAAAATAATGACAATAAATTCTACTGTTTATAAATATAGGACTTCAGTTAAAGTTTCACTACATAAATACCATAAATATTACCTTATGCAAGATAAAACAATTGTTTACACCGCCTCCGAATCAGAACTATACAGAGAACAAAGAATAAAATGGCTCCTGCTAATGCGCTTGTTTCTTTAATTTACGGTTACAAATAAATATGTTGAATAAAAATGATGTATTTGTTTTTCCCTATTTATTATTCAGAATAGCATAAGAAATATTGAATATATTACAGAATGTATTATAAAACGACTTTCATCTAAAACTCTTCATGTTAAAAAAAAAACCTTTATGTTTCACTCTTAACCGCGTACATTCCGAAATCTAACCGTATCTCAATTTATTTTGGTACTTCATTTATGGCAACGCCGATGTAAAGACTTCTCTTTTTCGCGAATTTCGCTGCATCTCTTTCACGTGGCGGCGTATTAAATTCATATTTCAAATAATAAGAAATAGTGGCTATTATTCATTCACAAAAAAGTAAGTTTCTGTTCATTATTGAAACTAATATTTCTTTAACTATAGTTTTATATATTGCCGTTGACAACATTCAGAATAAGTCTTATCTGCTTATAGTCATGCCTGTATGCTTAATTAATCCAAATTAATGATAATTTGATCTTGTTCCTAAAATTATTGCTCCCATTTCATTAAAATAATTAAGTTAATGTATTTTACAAGCCATATATTATAATACGTGCTAAATAATTTTTACTACGTGTCTTGTTAGGCTTAGGCATGTGTAAACACGCCTGGTTTTGTCGCATAATTTAATATATTAATGAAAAAGGTTTTTAATGATATACTTTGAAGTGTTGTCTGCTAATTTTTGAAGGTGATTATTAAATGAAGTTCATGGGTTATATTTGATGTTTTATAAACGTAATTCAATTATGAGGTGTTAATTTTTCTGTATTCTTGGTTTGTGTGTAATATTGCGACAGCTTAACCAAGAAGAATTCATATTTCTTCAAGATTAACAGAATTACTTTTAATTGAAGTGTTTATGTTAGTGTGCATTGGTCAAGCGTAATAATTGGAAACTGACTTATTACCTTGAATGCTATATTGCTTTCATGGTATTTTGCTAAGATGAAATTAATTATAGAGAACACTATCTGTATTTTTTATGCTGGCATAAAAAGGGTAAACCCTCTTCTAATAATCTTGAAATCAAGGTGCCATGTTTTTTACTTGATCAGGGTATCAAGGTTTTTTCTCATTTATTTGAATGCTGCTTTATTTGATTTGATGATCTAAAAGTTAAAACTGTTACACTATTTACCGATTTTGTTAATTATCCCTTTATAAATGTTCAAAAATGTCACATGTACAAGTTATACATTATAATTTTTCTTAAGTAATTTCTCATTAATGCTTAGCATGTATTGAGACTTGACACCTATTTATGAGCTCTTGAAAACTTCCCTGCTTTTAATTCCATCTGCATATTAAGCCAATGAGTTTCTTTAAAAGTAATATCTTACTACTTCTGTTTCTGATATTTATTATTTGACATGTATTTATTCCATGCGGGTTTTTTTCCTTCAGAATTTCATATAACTTGTGCTTACTGTATTATCAGGGCTGCCATTAGAGACTAAAAATGCGAGTAAAATGACTATTTTAAAGCAATAGCAACTATGTCGACTATTTTAGTAGAAATATGAGTAAAAACAACTAATTTGCAATGATTTGCGTGAAATTGGCGACTCTTTTAAACCAAAGTGACTAAAATGAAGAATAGCTTCATGAGCTTCCCGCATTTTTTCCCGCGGTTTCGTTTTATCCTAATTTTATTATTTCTCACTGTTTGATGTCAAAGGCATGACAGACTTATTTAACCAATCAGACTGATAGTATTGGAATTCACACTATGTGAATGCTCCTCCTGCTCAGAAAGCTAATGTAATATCTCTGAGTATTAAGTTTTTCCCCCTCTTTTTAGTTTGAATGAATTAGCAAAATTAGAAAAATTGTCTTTAATTACACGAAATGTGTTAATTTTTTTAGAGCTATTTAGAATAGAAAAAAGGTACATGGTGATATTTGTTTTGTCGAGTTGTGATCCTAATTTTTTTGATAAGCATTAAAATTTGGAAATGTGTCAGTTATGAAAAATAAACAAAATAAAATGGAATTAAATTGCAATATTTATTATGTCTAAACTAAGCTGCAAATTAGAACCGACTAAGGAAATTCAAGTTTCAAATTCAACAATTTTTTATAGAATATGAGTATCTAACTGCATGTTATTTGAATTTTATGCTATTATGCACAAATAATTAAAATTATATGATGTTAGCAACTATTTTATATATCTTGGAGACTATTTAGGAGACTTTTTTTTCATATGTGATGCAACTAAAGCAACTATTTTTCTTGTTTTCATCCAGTGGCAGCCCTGTATTATGCATTTCATAGCTCAGTTATCCTTAATTTCCTTTAAAAAAGTGTCCTTAATTATTAAAAATTTCAATAAATGTCTTGAAACCTTTGTATTTTTCATATTTTTGTTGAAGTTCACAGCAAGACTAAATATTTACCTATGAAAGAATGGTGTAAAACAAAGTATGAAACAAAAAGAATGCTTAAGTGTTCATAGCATATCAGGTATTTTATTAGTTTACTTCCATTATTACTGACACTTACCCTTGACTAGATGGTATTGAACATTCCATGTGGTAAAAATGTGCAAAAAGCTCTTATCTCTTTTCTCCCATAATCATATTCTATTGATCTTCATGAGAGAATACACCTATTTTGCTGCTACTTAAAAAAATTTGTATTTGTACTATTTTGTGCTTAATAGTTAACTATTTTTCCGCTTAAGTGCAGGAACTACTGATATTATTACCAATTGTATATCTGAAAATCCATGTTGGTGTTCTTGAAATTAATTCCATTAGAAAATCGGCATCCTTAAGTTTGTAGGCAATTTAGCCCTTAATTTTTTTATATTCTGGACTTCATTCCCTGAAATTGTCAAAATATAAAGTTTTCATGCAATATAGTCTTAACAATTTTGATTAGATTTAGATAAGTATCATCTATGAAAAAGGAAAGAGTATAGGACTAAAAATTATCTAGCCCTATTAAGTGTTCACTAAACATTAAAATATTCTTTAAGATTTGTATAAGCCATTTAATTAGATTAGAGAAGCCAGCATTGTTAGACATTTTTTAATTTTGTAAATCTTCACATATCTTAGTCTAAGGGATTGTGTTCTGTACGAAATTTTTTTTAAATTTTTGTATAAGTTAATTAGTTGCTCCATTTAGTAAGATGCAGTCAGTTTCTTCAAATAAAGTCCCACCTTTTCTTATCTTCTCCAGTACCTTTAGAGTTGGTCTCTTTTCCAATTTTTAGTCCCATTTTTTTTTTTTTAATTAAATACGAGCATCTGTGAAAGCCAGTTTCCTATTTTCATTCTTTTTTTAAACAAAAAAGGATTCTTTATTTGCTGACTGGTCAGCAAGGTAGTAATCTCATTTTATTATTATTTTTTTTTTTGTTCCACACCATTCCACATTTAGATGGCTGACTCCAAGAGTGGGTGTTGCAATTCATGCTAATTAGATTTAGCCAGTATCAAAGCATTGCAAAATTTTTAAAGTCATTAAGGTTCAATTAACTTTTATAGTGAATGGTGCTCCTTTTTTCACATTTTAAGCTATTTCATAATGATACATCAATTGTCTACTGGAGCCAACGAATTGCTTTCATAATTTAAAAGAAAAATATCTTAATAAAGTAGCGTTGGCAAGGTTTAGGGCAGAATAACCGTTCGTCTAAAGATGTCTTAAACTACCCAAAGCTTTTTTATTCAAATTATGTCTCAATTTTAAAAATATATTGTAGAAAGAAAAAAATTTACTTTTTGAACAAGAAACAAAATTAAGATGAGTTTTTGTTTTATTAAAGTTAATTATTATTTTTAATATTGCATTATTTATCCTCATGCAAATACATAATTTATCAATATTTGAAGCATATTTAAAGGATTCATTTTTATTGTTCAATGAATTGTAGAGCTTCAATCTTCAGAGGGGTCTGTCCAGGTCGAATTTACTACTGTTTAGTGGTACCTTCACAAATTCAACTTAAGGAAAAACGGTAGTTTCACAAATTCCTTTTTGTTGAAATTTTATTTTTGTATCCCATAAGAAACAATAAATCCATATTTTTGTGTTGATTTTTTAATATAATCTTTAGTTTTTCACAAATTATATCTAAATTTTCACAAAATAGGTACCTCTCAGAAAAACCTAGACCCCTGCTTCATCTCTCTTGTTGCTTACATTATGTGGACTTCATATAATTCTAATTAATTAGTGTGACCTGGGGTAATTCCTGATCTAAAAATGCAAACATATATTTTGTGCAAATTGAATTTTTGTGTAGAATTTTAATATTTACTGGAAGTTTGAGGGTTTATGAGAGAGTCCTATGCACCTTATTTTGTTTGAAAATCTAATTAGAATTTAAAGGATTTTAAATTTTTAGTGATCAGGAATTACCCCTTCTCTTGATCATTTCTGGGGTAATTCCTGATCACTTCTGGGCAGGGTTGGGTTTTTGACGTCAAAAAGTGGTTTTTGACATGACAAGGGTATCATACTGGTTTAAACTGTCAAAAACCCGTCAAAAATGTCAAAAACTGAAGTTTGCCAAGAAAATATATAAACTTCAAAACTACCAACAGTTGCCATGCATTATATTGAAATTTAATTATACTATAGGTAATCAGCAGGTTTTAAAATATTTTTTAATTAAAATTAAGGTAAAATAACAGATTTAAAATCTCAGAAATTTATATTCAAATGCATGTG